TAGATTTACTAGACAAATTTTAGTTTTTATTTCTTTTCTTATTTCTTCTCTCTCTCTCTCTCTCTCTCTCTCTCTCTCTCTCCTCAAAGATATGTTTAATGTTGCATTAGGAACGGATGTTCGTTTCGATACAAGATCAGAGGACCATCCTCGATTTTAACATTGAGAATACGAAGAAAAAATGAAATATTTAAAAATTTTTGAAAATTATTAATAAAATTCTTTTAAATTTTCAAAATTATCTAAACAGCTTAATAGAACAGAATTTCTAAAATATTGTAAATAAAAATGTCAAAAAAGATGAAAGCAGTACTAGAAACAAAATATTTACTGCTAAAAAATTATATTCACTTTAACTTCGTTAAAAATATTAAACTTATGCCGAACAAATGAAAAAAAAAATAGTCTTATTTTAAGAAAAAAATAATTCAAAATATATGATTTGAATTTAATATTACAAAATATTTTTATATACAAGAAATTATTAAAACATAATTTATGATTCTTTGTAATTTAATTTTTTCTTTGTCATTTAAGACATCTAGCCTAGGCAATTAAATTTCTTGCAAGATATGATTCATGTTCATCGCGAATTTGCCAATACTAATGATTCATCGTTGATGAATTCGCATCGTTTCCATTCTAAAAGGACGCAAACGTCGCGCAATTACGTGAAAACAGGTTTGAAAATAGCAGGTTTGAAAATAGCATACTCTAATAAATGTGGAAAGTCGCCATCGATCGCAAGATCGATCCTGCGTAGTCGCGTCAGCGGAACAAAAGGCCGCCTAGCAAGATTAAAACCGACCGTGATGACGACCAACGGTTAACGGCAGTTTCGAATTCGAACGTGGCGCATCGCCATCGTAGAGCTATGTTGAAAACGCCCGAGTGACACTCTGTGTTGCGTTTTAAATCTGAATGCTTCGAAAACGAACACGACGCAACTGTGACCCGACGCTGGTGGACGCGCGCCATTTCAAAACTCAAATTCGAACTCAAACGAACGCGAACGCGAACGACGTTGGTTGAGCGCGCACGAACTTCGCACGTAACTTTACACGTCGAATTCCAGCGCGGTGCGACGGTTAAACCACCTGCTGAATATACTCGCGTGCTCGCTTGTCTCCGTCTTCCTCTCTTTACCATCCATCTCTCTTGCACCTTCTACACCGCGGCGAACGGTACCGCACGAGCGGTCCCGTGGGAAAACCACGCGCGAGATCCCACCGACAGACTAGATTCCCGTCGACGCTCGCGATCGCGCCGCGAATATTCTCGTGCTTACCTGCTAGCAGCAGAACGGCGATCGCGACGCAGGTGGAACGCTCACGACGGGCTGCCATCGTGATGAGTGATACGCTGCCTATCTTCCACTCTCCGCTCACGGAGAAGTCGAGTCCTTTCGTTTTTTTCACCACACCGTTTCCCGTTCCTTCTCTCCCTCGTTCGTTTTAATTCTTCGTTGCCGTTCACTGACACCACACGCGATCCCACGATCCCCGATTCACGATCGATAAAAGATCGAGCGGATCAAGCGACGCAGTCGCATTCGAGTTTTCGATCGACTACGCTAAACGTCACGACGTCGCGCTGGCTTATCTCGAACTGTGCCGAGGAGCGCCGCGTACGCGCTCGGCACGACCTTCGGCCGCGCTCGGACGTTTCCGCCGACCACGTGACTGCGTCGGCACGCAGGTAGGTACGCGCGACCGCGCGTCATCGGAAAGAATGCCGATCGTGATCGTGCGCGCGACCCTCTGTCTTTCCAAATCTTTTCTGAATCTGATAAAGTCGGTTTTTCTCAGGATTTTCACGATATCGAGAACGATAAATTAAGTCATGTTTTCCCAATGTTTTCCCATTTCTGAATTTTGCGACATTTTCGAGATGCTTCCTTGATCGCGAGCGAAAATAATTTCGATGCGTTCGCGTTCGAACTCGCCGCAAAACTTTCCGAAGCTAAAAACAAAATGGCGAATTGTCACCTCGCGTATACGTTATTCTTCAAAATTATTTGATCGAGAATTAAATCGCATATACGAAATATCGTTATTTATTACTTAGATTAGGGATTAAACCGCGCGTTAGTTGTACATTTTTCACACGTAGGGACCCAATATTGACGCCCTACCTCCCCATATATCGACTTTTCCTAGATCGGCCATTTATCTTTCTTCCTACGGGCGTCATTGCATCGTACGCTCGTAAACACGGACGTAACACTTTCCCAAACGAATATAAATCTCCCGGCGGCGAGGGATTTTTGTTTATAGGATATATACAGCAATCTTGTTTTCGGAATTTGTTTCGCTCTATGCTCTGCCCGCATATGCAAAAATCGACGATTTATGGCAGCGACTTATCCAGTCGCAGTGTACACGCACATGCACATGTACGCGCATACACACGACGAATCAATGCAATATACTCTAGTGATAAAAAATGAACACTATCTAATCTGTTTGGCAAGGTAAGGCGGAACAAGATTGATAGACTTGAGGGATTAATTGTTGCCTTATTAACTCCGAGAAACGGAAAAGGAAAGCAAATTAAAATAAAGTCCCAGCGGAAGAAAGAAATGTATAACGTCATATTAAATCTGACATAAATCCGAATGACGACTTAATTCAGCACGATTGGCTTTTAATAATATTGTCGCGCGAATTAATCCCGGAAACTCGACGCGTGCAAATATATACTCTTCCTTTCATCGCTATTGTGTCATGTGCTTTAAACGTCGTCATTTAACAAATCCCTTCTCGCCGTCGTAAGATTTATGGCACACACGACGAAGCGCTTTCCTTGCGCGCGCAACGTCGTCTTCGCGTCGTCGCGTAAGATCCCGAAGATTGATAGCACATCTGTATCGTGCGCTGTAAATTCACGCAAATATTGCCACGGTGCTAATGATAGGCCCGTGCTAATTACGGCTCTTGTGCATACAATTACTCGGAAAATAGAGAGCTTACGGCGCGCGAACGGTGCGGTTTATTCCGAGTTTACACCGAGACGCACCCGATGAAAATAGGCGGAAAATCGAGCTTGTCGCGTTCTGTTGGAAAAGGGACAATCTCTCCTCTTTGATGATGTCACTAAAATATCACGCGTCTACCAAGCTTCATAACAGAATTTCATTTAGAAATCTCTTATCACACGGGTCTATTAATAGATAGCTACGCTAGAATTCATTAAGCCCATTATGCTAAATTGATCGACACGAAAAGCCACCCTCGATTCGTCCCGTTATTGACGTGATGTCATAGTCAAAACTCAGAAGTGGTGCCGCGTTCCGATGTGTGATGCAGAGAGCTTCGAGTGTTCCTCCTCTTTTATTTCGAGAAGTATACAAACTCCATCACCGGGCACAGTCTTCACCTCGTCTTTCTCTCAAGAGGGCCGACCTTTTTCAAATAAACCTGGCCGACCCTTGCGTACTTTACGTGTTGGACCCTTGCGTCTTTCGCGAGGAAACATAGTTGTGTCTTATAACATGATGATCTAGAGAGACGATGAAAAAGCAAAAGCTGCAGACAGTGGACGCCTCGCTTGTTTATCATTTGTCGACGGTCTATTTACACCAAAGTGAGCTACGGATCTTGTGGGAAATGGTCTCACATCCTTTTCCTGTAGCGTGAAGTCTAGCGGTAATATTCGCGCTGTCCTTTGTAACGTCTACGTATCGATCGATCGTCTGGCAATAAAAAGGTCATGCTCGTTAGGAGACAATTGATGCGATTAAGTCGAAAATTGAATAAGTCACTTTATTAAATTCCTTGAAGAGAAAAATAGCCGTAAGAGGATCATTATGCTACAAATATGATGGCGCGCCACATGCTCTCATTTTCAGTAATTGTATTATAGATATAATTACGGATTTATCATTGATGCCGGCAATATTTGTGTAAATTTATTTAGCAGAGGAGATGATTAATCTTCGATTATACCACCACACGAAAGGTCATGCAGAATTAATTAAATATTATCCACGATTATTCGCTATTATTTTAGAGTTTGTATCTCCGGCATTGTTTACAATTCATTAGTAAAAAGGTTAACGTGCTTCTTGCACGACTAATTCGTCCGGCGTAAAACGAGCCGCGTCTGTTAAGATGATAGATCGTAATTTCTCGCGCGACGCTTGCTGAAATACAGCGTTAAGGTTTTTATCATCTTAAAGCTGCTCTAGAAAATCCGTCATGCTATTCACCACTTTTCTGACGGCTTAGCAAGTACCGAAAAGTGGATCTCGTTTCGCGCAAAAGTGCGCAACTCTTACCATAACGATAAATATCTCGTGCGGCCATCACAAAAGCCATCGCTATTTTAATAACAAATCTGAATGACAACTTAATAACTTCAGTAATAATTCGTAGCTTTAGATATTATATTTATTTTTGCGTTACAATATTTTAAAAAAATTTAAGAAAAAAAAAATAGAAGAGACGATTTATTAAAAAACTCTGATTTCCGAAATTTCTGAAATCTTTTTGCATTATATGGGATATATGGATATGTTATGGTTATATGGATTTTTATAATAAGCAAATTAGGAAATTAGGTTGTCGAAAAGAGAAAAATATATTATCGATTAATTTTAATTTGTTTTATATATTTGCTCTTATAATAAAATATATAAAAAGTACATAAAGATCTTTTTAATAATTTCATATGGATCCCTCTATATTTTTTTAAATCATTTTATCAACAAATTATCCGAATGCTTTTTAATTGTCTTGCTTAATCTTCCGTTCTTGTCCTTGCACTGGCAGGGATTAATAGATGGTTTCGCTACATTGTGAAATTGTCCTGTATGTTGGAACTGTAAACGATAAAGAATAGGAAAGTGTGAACAAATCAAAAAGATAAATGCCGGAAACTAGATGAATAAGAGAGAAAGAGAGAGAGAGACAGAGAAAAATGCGAGAACGACCGAGAACTCGGGCTAAATAATAAGCTTTTAAATGTTTGTATCTTTCATCTACCGAGTTTTGCGAGCGAGCAGATTATTAAACATTTAAATCTTCCTCGGTGCATAAAAAAGCTATGCCGAAAGCTTGTAGGAACAATAAGCGAGAGAAAAGAAAGAAAATGCGGGAAGGGGACGGGAGATGCGAGAAAGAAATTTATGAGAGACAAACGCCGTTCTTGTTTCTCTTCAGAAGCGATGGCTATTAAACTAAATATTTATTCCACGATCTTTCGTCGACGATAGACTCTTCACGATAAATAAACGGAAATATTTCGTTTCGTCGAGTTATCGACTCATCAATTGCCATCAATTGCCATCGCCGAGCTGAGATGGTTAAGAGCTTACTTATTCTACGATTTTAATATGCATTCTTTTGTATTGACGTAAGTTAGCAATGTGGAATACAAAATACATTTATATGGAAGCCGAATTGGGAAAGGAATATAAGCGAGATTTCCTTGACGGTGATATAAAAATATAAATGCATAGAAATTAGATTTTTCGAATATCATGAATTCTGAAACTTTGTTTGCGAAAATAAAGCTGTCAATTTTTGAATTGGAAGTTCGATCCAGGATGATGGAAATAACTGTAGAAGAGAATAGTCAAATTCAGAAATCTGGTTCATGGTATTCTATTCTAATCTAAATCCGATTTTCGATTGACAAGTAGATTTTTTTCTCTGAATATCTTTGAACTATGCAGGCAAAAATACAGCCTTTTTTAATTATACATATTTTTTTCGATCAAATTAATTAAACAGCGAGCATTAAATATGATTACAGTATTCAAAAAGCGCTTATTTATACTTTGCATGAAATTATATTTACATACACAATTATCGACACACGACAAAGCTTTTTCGTGTAAGAAGGAAACAGAAGGAAGGAGGTAAAGAAGTAGGAATACAAAAGAAAGCAAGGGCGAAATGAATCGGTCGCGACGAATCATTCTCAATATCAATCTTCAGAGAGGCAACTGAAAAGAAAGTAGATAAAATAGTACCTTTTACCAGGGAGAAGGGAAGGAGGAAGAGGGAAATGAAGAAAATAGACACAGCTGCTTGTGTGATTTTATCTCGTGGAAAATTGGGATTCTGTCGACAACAATCGTGAGATGCACTTATGTCTTCGCGTTGCAACGACATTTCACATTTGACGTCTACGTTTTTGTTGTAACTTTATACATCCTCGAGAAGACGAGAAGGGATTCATTGTATTTTGATAGAGCTCCCAACAGTTTGCACCAACAAACGATTAATTGTTCTCGAATACAAATACAAACAGTCCCTGTACTCGCCATAGCAATTTCGCATCGATCAATCTCGTCTCGCCTCGATCGCTTATATATACGATTGAGCTGCCAACAGGTGCGCGCTTTGCAGCCGAGGCACGCGTGCTATCGTGCCGACTGTAATTCGGGCGGATATCATTGATAGAACGGAGGGATTATAGTCGGAGATCAGAGCGGAGAGAAGAAGGGGAAATGTCGCGAGAGGAGGAACGTCGCGCTTGGTCCGTCTTGGAAAATGAATGATGAATCCGGATCCTATTCGTCCGCGTTCTCTCCTCTCGCTCCTTTCGCCGTCGCCCCCCCCCCCCATTTCTATCCTCCTCTCTTTCGTTCCTCCGGCCGGCGAGAGTCTGCGTTCACACCACGTATATATATATGTTGTGTGTATATATATATATGTGTTGGAGCAGGTTCGTCGGCGCCTGAAAAGCAGGCAGCCAGGCGGGCGCCATCGCTCGAAAGGGTTTCGTTCCACCGACGAGAACGGCGGTCTGTCGTCGCCGTTTCATCCGCTGGAGCTGGAGCAGGACGACGATAAAAATGGTCGAGGGAAGGATAACACGGGATAACCGAGCGCGCTGAGAGGAAACGAGAGTGAGAAAGGCAGAGGGATGACGCAGAGCCGGGAAGAAGGCTGCGCGCTGTCGGTGCCTTGCCTCGAAGACCGTATCGTGGCAAGGCAGCAGCTTGGAAGATGACATCCCGGCTACGTTTCTGGTCTCTAGATGGAAAGCCGGCCGCTCGAAAAGAAAGAACGAGCGAGTCCCGGTTTGTTGTTGTTTTTTGATGCCGCGCATCCGCGCGATATGGACCGCGCACAGAGATATGAAAAGCGCCTGGAGGCTGGGCAAAGTACGCGAAACTCGTTAACGCAGCAACAGAGGTAAATACAGAGAGGAGAGGAGAGCTTGGCTGAAAATAAAGAGGCGGATGCGTGTTTCAAAGGGGATGTCTTCGTTTGATGTTGCTGTGTTTACCACCGAAATAAGCGCGATTACTCGGTTCAATCGTCGAGCCAAGATTATAATACGACTGCCATTATAATTTTTTAGTTATTGATTAAAGCATTACTTTAATTAATATCTGCGATAATATGAGGATTCTGGTCAAGTAAAAGTTACATTAAGCTCACATCGTTCTCTGTATGGTATTATTCGTTGAGATAAATTATTAAAGAAATATGTTTTTATCATCTAGACATTAAAATTCTCCTCTCTTTTATACAAATTTAATTTACTTTAGATTTTTACTTTAAAAGTTTATATTTTTTTCCGAGATTATAAGAAAATAGTGTTCTTGATCGATTAGACAAACAATGTGTGCAATCCATTTTGTAATCGTATATCCAATATATTTCCACTTTATATAGGAACCTACGTATACGTTGCTAACGACATCGTTTTCTGTCGGTTGCCACTATAAGCTAGAAAATAAATTGCATCAGCGGTTATGATAGCATTCTATTGGTTTGTCGAATCGTTTTCGATCAAACTTCCCAGTGCAATATTTCAAAGGTGATGTAACATTATGGTATACTCTAGTAATATCTCGAACAAATCCATCGATTTGTCGCTGATTTTATTGTCGATTTTGAAATCTAGTAGGCCTATCGCGATAAGCATTTTCCTTCATTTCCTTTTCATTTCATATTCTATTCATTATTTGCTTTAAAATTTCTGTTCATATCGATACCGTGCATGTGGATATGATTTCTATCGTCGTTAGAATTCCGGAGGAGAAAGAAATTCCGTCGATACGATTAGATAAGTGAAGGCTGAGTGCAAATCTTTACCCACGAGTTCCCCAAGAGGAAACGAGAGAGGCGAAGTAGAAATCGAGCCTGAGTTTCCGAGGAAAGGCCGAGGCGCGACAGGCGCCTCGCGGTAACGGAGTTACATTTTATTTGGTCCCTCGAGCAGGAAGGTGATATTTTTCCAAGGGGAAACTTTCAAACGCCCCGACGGTGACTGCTTCTTGTTCGTAAAAGGGCGGCATTGTGTCCACGCCTCTTGGTTCTTCTCTCGCCCGCGTCTCACCTCTCTGTATCTCTCTCGGTTTTTCTCTCTCTCTCTCTCTTCTTCCCGGTGGAGGGTATAAACACTCCACAGAGGCCGGAAGGCAGAAGTTTGATCTGGACGGTGTGCCACGAGGAGGGGGGGGGGTGGGGGAGAAGGTTAAGCAAAGAGAAGGACAGATGGATTTATTTCGCGTGCGCCCCGATAAGACGAAGGAGATGTATGGAAGGCCCGTAAAGCCCGAACGCTCGCTCGTAACTTACCGATTGACGAACCGCACTTCGATCCCGGGAAACGAAGCCGGAAAACCGAGAGCGGAAAACTCGCAAAATTCGCTCGGTTCCTTACGAAATTTCTTATAGGACACGAAAAGACGTTCATTTATTCAATGCACCCCGAGCTGGCTCTCGCAGTCGTGGCACGACCGCGACGCGACGTCTCGCTCCGTTCGTGGAATATACTCGTGGATTAAAAACCCGTCGCTTTACATGAAGCTTTATGTAACGTTTAAACGAAAAATTACGTTGTCAGGCAAATTATGGTAATTCGCAGATGAAAAGAAAATGTTCGAAGTAGCAGAACTAGGCGAGCCGCTGGTTAATATGAAACGGCTTGAATAATTTAAGTCGCCGAGACCGCTTTATTGCCGCGGTTTTCTAAAAAGTGAGTTCGCCCGTTTGTTTCATTTTGAATAACCGGCCACATTTTCCAGAGGCGTAAACACCCTATATTGAATTTTGTACAGCATCTTGTTGGGTTATATCGGGAGGGCATAGCAAGCAGAATACAAAACGGTATTTCACGATAGACGATATTTTCTTCTTCTAAAACGTTGAAGGAGATAATTATGTGTACATTAAAATTTCACGAAACAAAAAAAAACATAATCCTATGTGTAAAAATATTTTACGCGTATAGTATAGCAATACGAGTATGTAACGTAGGTCTGATTAATTAAAAATTTATCGATATTGATTTCTATACATCCTTTTTAATTTTAGATGATCAAATCTTATATTAGAATTAATTTTTAACATTCCTGAAGAAATATTAATTTGATTAAAGATTTTCTTATTTATTTTATAATAAGCTACTTTCTACTCTTATACTCAACTTCTCGATTTCTCATATCTTATCAAATATATTTGTCTCATGTAAAATAATAAAATAAGGTAATAGAATATCGTAAAGGCTCGGCTGTTATCGGATATTTTCGGTGTTGATAACCAAAATTTAAAATGCTCTGCCCGTTATTCCCAATGCAAAGCCCGGTTGTTTATCGCAAATTTAATACGCTCACGATACCAGTCTCGAGTCTGCGATCTGAATTCAGTAAATATTATCGTTATGAAGTAACGTGCTTTGGCTCGAGACACGTCAAGGGCCCGATGCTGATGTATAGTTCTGAGAAGCGTGCAGAGTGCAACTGATAATTAACGGTTTCATTCGAACGGGCATAATCGCCACACGAGTTGACATTGACAGATTGTTTGTGCATTTCGTGGACGATGGATAACATTCAACGAATAACGAATAAATTTTATATGTAACTATAAAATGCAGTGCCTGATTTAATCCATTACGATGAGAATTGCAATTGTTTGGAGCATTGGTAATTACGCATTTGAAATATGTTAATACATATCGAAACCTGTATTATATCTTTAGTTCAGTATCCACAATTTAACTCGCTTATTCGCAATTGAGAGAAAGAGAGAAAGAGGAGGGGGGGGGGAGGGAGAGACAAAACGGCAATAAATTTTCGGTTAGAAGCAAACAATTTCGTAATGCGACCATTCTATCCTTTATATTATTGGATTGTCAAAAAGCGTAAATCAATATCTTGATGAAAATATCCAGAGAATTGACTAATTATTGTACAATTATTGTATTATTATATCAAATTGGATAATATGATAATATCAGCTATGGAAAATTTAATATCCCTTTGCAATAATTAGAATTTATAAATAATTTTGCAAAGATTTTCAAGATTTTTAACTCAATTGTATTGCATTTGGGTATCGCATTTTGGGGAATTAAGCTAAGCTGTGCTTCCGACCACACTTACCTCTCGCGCGCGGTGATGATCGTGTCGATTTGTAATACTATGCCCTCTATCCCATGTCCCTCGCATCGTTCTCATATCTTCTCGCGTATCGGGTCCCGGGCTTCGAAGATGCGACATAGTGATGCGACAGCCAAGGCATACGCGTCTCACTTCTATGTGGCAGTCCGATGTGGCAAGACTTGGCAGATGGAATCGACGCGGAACGTTACGCATTCACGGCACAGGCGCATTGTGTCGGTGTCCTAATCCGATTACACGGCCCATTGAAGTCAGAAGTGCGATCTTTTAAAAGGGGCTAACGTGAAATGTGCTTGTTAAACGCCGCGCGGAGAGAAGGCCGCACGGAGGACAACCGAGTCGAGGATCGATATTTTCCGCGACGTGCCTCCCCGGCCAGCGGTGTAGAAGGATACGCGTTGCCAACACAATCCTCTGCCCTCCTTCGCCGTTGGCCAGATAATCTGGCCGGGAAGCTCGTTACCCTCGTTGCCGCTCGTATCGCGGAATTACCGTAGTCCTCAAATTTGTACCGCGAGCGATCCCTCTCACCCTTAGCCCCGGGATACTACCCGAAGCCGAAGCTATCTTTACCGGCTACGGCTGGACGAAATGCACAAAAGCATTTCTCTAGAATATCCTTGCTGCGCTTATCAATAGCTATGCCGTACAAAAACTCACTAAATCCCCGACGAAGGTTCCCCGCGTATTCCCGCGTGTTCCCCGATACCATAAAACGTGCGGCTTTCGATATACTGCGAAAGCCGCTCATACGCTACTTCCGATGATCCCGGCATGGTTTTATATCTGATGAAAAAATATTTCCGTGTAAAAAATATTTTTAACATGTAATACAACACATAATACTTGTACATATTAGAAAATTTTAAAGAAAACGAAAGATAATTTTGTAAAAATTGTTTAATAAGAATTGTTAAAAATTAGCAAACGTAATTAAAACTATACCATTAAATAAATATTTTGTTATAAACAATTTTTTATTTTTTATCTTGCATTTTATATAATACTTGCAATTACTTTGTAGGATTATGAATGTTTCACTAAAATATTTTAGTTGATTCGCGCAATGTTACGTATCTTCGTGATCTTTTCAAGTCCATTTAATATTTCACGTGCACTGAAATAGACAATTCTCTTGAAATATTTTTTTTTCAGAATTATTTAACAGTGGATGGAGTTTGCATGAGCAGAGACAACGAAAGCCATATTGATATCATTTCGTGTTTGTGAATGAAATCCGACAAGGTATATGCAAATAAAATATTCTATAAACGTCGTAAAAATATGGTAAAGATGAGAAGGTATATTTTGCGTTGAGCTATCTGCTAAATGCTTTGCTGTCATAATTGGATTTTCCCTTGTATGTTAGTTGCGAACACGTTTGCAACGTGACGCCGCGGGCGCCGCGAAATGCGGACTTTTTCGTTCTTTACTCGTTACGATGTAGGATACAGACTATTCTTGACATTCTACATATTCAATCTGACGCTTTCGGTATTTTATATTTTTTCTTCGCTACCAAACTCTTTTTTTTTTTTTTTTTTAAGTAACTTCAATAATAATTTCTCTGTCCAGTAGTGAAATTAACCGTTTAATTTCTCGACATTGATAACAGAATTTGATTTAAAGAATTATTGACGGATTGAAATGGATTGACATGAAATAAATACTAAATTATTCGTAATTTTCTAGTGACAAATCTACTGTGCTAATCAATTTGACAAATATATTTAGAAATGTATCAGAAGAAAATTCTTCTTTTCAAAACAACATTGCATCTGTCACATTAACGAACGATACATAATGCACGTGCTATTAACGGTAAAGTAGCTACATCCCCTTCTCCCTTAGATTCTTTCGTTCACCTTTTACTCAAATTAAAGTCCATTTAATCGTACCTGATAGAGGGGCAATGGGGTATACGCGCGGCTGTACTCAATTTTAATATACAAATGGAGCCAATATACTCTAAAAGAGATAATTGCATTAGGCCGACTCGATACGAACGCTCATAATTCAAGAACCCATTGCCCATCTATTTAGGACGTCCACGAGCAACGTGGCGACCCTTTATTTAAGTGTACGTCGCCCCGGGCACTCGCCCGTGCTCTTCCATCCGCGACCGATCGAGAACCGTCGAATAAATGATCGACGAAACGGGAGAAGAAATTTATATCTCATTTACTCGATATATATACCTTCCCTTAAGTACAAAGTGCGCCTTTCATCTCCCTTTTACTCGAGAAGTTTGCTACGCGCTATGTGTGTACACCGATAAACGCATAAGTGCTATTCGCGAAAGAATATAATGCTGAAGATGCACGACCTAAATATTATGCGCCAAGAAAAGGGGTTAGAGAAAATATCCATTTTATAAATTGAAATACTAAGTAAATAAGCGGATAAATGATTTGTGTCGGATTTATATTAATATATATTTATTTATCTGACAAAGAGCCTTCTTTTCATATTCTTTTCAAAATTTATCTTATACTTTTAAATTTATATATTTATCTATCTGTTTATTATGACGTTATAAAATTATCATATAAAAATGTTATGTTATATTGTCATATGAGACTTTTCCTAATAGCAAAAAATTAAAAATGAAAGATTTCCTGATGAAAAACTGGTAAAGTTTTTACATTTCCGAATTAAATGCAGAGTGTACTGCTCTTTCCATAAGAGACATAACTCTCACAGACGAAACTTTTATATATTTGCTTTATAAACATTTTTCTTTCACTCTCGTAGAAATGTTTGCAAATGAATGCAATAGGACAGGACGGAACGCGGAATAATACGGAAAATCTCAATTCCCGATGGAAATTTCTCAAGAGCACTTTGCCACACAATAACGCATACAAAGTGCAATGAAATCCTCATCGTTACAGTGTTGTAGTTGAACAATTGTAGTTTTACACTTTGAGCATGATGAGAGCTG